GGGTCACCGGCTGTGACCAGGTAGTTCTTCCTGTGCTTCAGGTCTGCATCTGAAGGGTCACTGGCTGTGACCAGGTAGTTCTTCCTGTGCTTCAGGTCTGCATCTGAAGGGTCACCGGCTGTGACCAGGTAGTTCTTCCTGTGCTTCAGTTCTGCATCTGAAGGGTCACCGGCTGTGACCAGGTAGTTCTTCCTGTACTTCAGTTCTGCATCTGAAGGGTCACCGGCTGTGACGACCAGGTAGTTCTTCCTGTGCTTCAGTTCTGCATCTGAAGGGTCACCGGCTGTGACCAGGTAGTTTCTTCCTGTGCTTCAGTTCTGCATCTGAAGGGTCACCGGCTGTGACCAGGTAGTTCTTCCTGTGCTTCAGTTCTGCATCTGAAGGGTCACCGGCTGTGACCAGGTAGTTCTTCCTGTGCTTCAGGTCTGCATCTGAAGGGTCACTGGCTGTGACCAGGTAGTTCTTCCTGTGCTTCAGGTCTGCATCTGAAGGGTCACCGGCTGTGACCAGGTAGTTCTTCCTGTGCTTCAGTTCTGCATCTGAAGGGTCACCGGCTGTGACCAGGTAGTTCTTCCTGTGCTTCAGTTCTGCATCTGAAGGGTCACCGGCTGTGACAGGTAGTTCTTCCTGTGCTTCAGTTCTGCATCTGAAGGGTCACCGGCTGTGACCAGGTAGTTCTTCCTGTGCTTCAGTTCTGCATCTGAAGGGTCACCGGCTGTGACCAGGTAGTTCTTCCTGTGCTTCAGTTCTGCATCTGAAGGGTCACCGGCTGTGACCAGGTAGTTCTTCCTGTGCTTCAGTTCTGCATCTGAAGGGTCACCGGCTGTGACCAGGTAGTTCTTCCTGTGCTTCAGTTCTGCATCTGAGGGTCACCGGCTGTGACCAGGTAGTTCTTCCTGTGCTTCAGTTCTGCATCTGAAGGGTCACCGGCTGTGACCAGGTAGTTCTTCCTGTGCTTCAGTTCTGCATCTGAAGGGTCACCGGCTGTGACCAGGTAGTTCTTCCTGTGCTTCCGATTTCTCTTTAGGGTCTAGGCCGGTTCACTGTAAAGCACTTTGTGACACCTGTTGATGTAAAAAGGACTTTCTAAATATTTTATTGATTGATCTCAACTGTATGTGTGATGTGTGTTGTCTGGGAGGAATGAGAACAGAGCATATCATTCAATGTCTGGTTGTGTGTGAATGATGGTGGGGGGGATCACCTAAACCAGGGGGATGCATAGCATACTAATCTTTAATCGCACAAAGCAGGGAATACTATTTGTAGATCAGTGATTCTACACCTCACTTTGCTCAAGCTGATCCTCTCTACCAGACTTCATCCCTGATCACCGGAGGCTAAATAAATGCGGTAGTCAGGACAGTTAAAGGGGAGAGACTATGAATCCAACCAGAAAATATAAAAACAATTATAAATCAGAATATCGCTTGAAAAACAGAGCGCGCCAAAAGCCTGTTGGGTATATTCAATATATTATGCAAAAATTTAAATGTAGCATTAGATTATCTATGAAAATACAGGATAGACAGCCATCTGAAAACATTTATAAAATACATTACGCTGTCTCAGAAGAATGCTTGGACCTTAGAAGGTTGTGGAGGATATAGTGAACAGTCCATCCTTACATAACAATACAAAATCGATCAAAAACAATATGTCACAAGTATCCTTGGTTTTCTTAACATAAGTTTAGATGTGCATTTTATTTGCTCTTAACAGACAACAAAACAAGGCATTTGTTGTCTGTGCTTGGACCTAGAAGGTATGAGGTGTGCATTTCTATGCTTCATTAACAAACAAATCAAGGCGTTGTTGTCTTCTAACATGTATGATGGCCATTTTGTTGTCTGTTCTTAACATATGGGTATGATGGGCATTTTGTTGTCTTTCTTAACATATGGATAAGGCATTTTGTTGTCTGTTCTTAACATATAGGTATGATGTGCATTTTATTGTCTTCTTAACAGACAACAAAACAGGCGTTTTGTTGTCTGTTCTTAACATATGGGTATGATGGGCATTTTGTTGTCTGTTCTTAACATATGGTATGGGCATTTTATTGTCTGTTCTTAACATATGGTATGGGCATTTTTATATCAGACAATGTAGATGTGGGAAATGTAGACTATTTTCAGAACATTAAATGGCTATTATTAATTAATTATTATTATTATTATTATTATTATTATTAATTATTATTTACATTTACTATAGAAATAACAACCCAACAACTTCTCCAACTCTTAAGATTGCAGTATTTGGAGAGATACGTTTCTACAACCAGCACAAAGCCCTGGAATGATATTCTGACACTGTTGAATAGTTCACTGCCTGTAAATACACTGTGTCAGCCAGAACAACTTCTACCGTCTTCACCCGTCTGTTCTACAGCATAAGAAGAACACATTGGTCTTGGGTGTCAGTGGATTCGTCCGTTATTGTGGAGACGCTTTTAATTTTTTTTACCAGACTCCGCCTCCGTTCTTTACGCGTGTGTTAATGAATGTGTGCATTTTGGGATTGTCAACTTTTTTCAGAGAGATGTTGGCGCTTGCAAAAGCCATATCCTCAGCAGTTTATGTTTTTAGATGTATTTATATAGCGAATAAAAATAGCTAATTTTTTTTGTTTGGAAATAGACTACATTTTCTTAGATAAAATGCCTGTTATAATGATGATAAAATACCATAAATAAGTTAAATATTTCTGTTGATAATGTCCTTAAGATAGGCTAATGATTTGGTGCATTAGGCTAAAGCGTAGGCTGCTGATGAGAATAAGTGTTGGCAGACATAAGTCGGTCCACATGGTTGGGAATTTATTTTCGACTAATGGGATAATTACGTTAGATCAGGGATGGCCCCCTTTTTGTAGGCCTGGGGACCAATTACATAATAATAATAATAATAATACATCAACATTTTTGAGGGGTGGGGGAACTCAGTCGGGGTCTCAACTTACTGTTGAGTGTTAGAAAAGTAGAATACACAAGATGCTATTTCTAAATGTGGTTGTGCATCAGTTATCATATTAAAAACTGCAAACATTTGCCTCAACCCAAAATATGTATAATTGCAGGAAATTAACTTTAAAACTTTTCTCTTCGCTGTCACGAGGGAGGCCGCTAAAATATTTTGCTGGTTTGGGTGTGTGTGTGTGTGTGTGTGTGTGTGTGTGTGTGTGTGTGAACCACTTTTTTGTAAATTTTATTTCACCTTTATTTAACCAGGTAAGCCAGTTGAGAACAAGTTCTCATTTACAACTGCGACATGGCCAAGATAAAGCAAAGCAGTGCGATAAAAACAACAACAACACAGAGTTACATATGGGGTAAAAAAACATAAAGTCAAAAATACAACAGAAAATATATATACAGTGTGTGCAAATGTAGCAAGTTATGGAGGTAAGGCAATAAATAGGCCATAGTGCAAAATAATTACAATTAGTATTAACACTGGAATGATAGATGTGCAAGAGATTATGTGCAAATAGAGATACTGGGGTGCAAAAGAGCAAAATAAATAACAATATAGGGATGAGGTAGTTGGGTGGGCTAATGTCAGAATGGCTGTGTACAGGTGCAGTGATCGGTAAGCTGCTCTGCCAACTGATGCTTAGAGTTAGTGAGGGAGATAAGAGTCTCCAGCTTCAGAGATTTTTGCAGTTTGTTCCAGTCATTGGCAGCAGAGAACTGGAAGGAATGGCGGCCAAAGGAGGTGTTGGCTTTGGGGATGACCAGTGAGATATACCTGCTGGAGCGCATACTACGGGTGGGTGTTACTATGGTGACCAATGAGCTAAGATAAGGCGGGGATTTGCCTAGCAGTGATTTATAGATGACCTGGAGCCAGTGGGTTTGGCGACGAATATATAGTGAGGGCCAGCCAATGAGAGCGTACAGGTCACAATGGTGGGTAGTATATGGGGCTTTGGTGACAAAACGGATGGCACTGTGATAGACTACATCCAATTTGCTGAGTAGAGTGTTGGAGGCTATTTTGTAAATGACATCGCCGAAGTCAAGGATCGGTAGGATAGTCAGTTTTACGAGGGCATGTTTGGCAGCATGAGTGAAGGAGGCTTTGTTGCGAAATAGGAAGCCGATTCTAGATTTAACTTTGGATTGGAGATGCTTAATGTGAGTCTGGAAGGAGAGTTTACAGTCTAACCAGACACCTAGGTATTTGTAGTTGTCCACATACTCTAAGTCAGACCCGCCGAGAGTAGTGATTCTAGTCGGGCGGGCGGGTGCAAGCAGCGTTCGATTGAAGAGCATGCATTTAGTTTTACTAGTGTTTAAGAGCAGTTGGAGGCTACTGAAGGAGTGTTGTATGGCATTGAAGCTCGTTTGGAGGTTTGTTAACACAGTGTCCAATGAAGGGCCAGATGTATACAAAATGGTGTCGTCTGCGTAGAGGTGGATCTGAGAGTCACCAGCAGCAAGAGCGACATCATTGATATACACAGAGAATAGAGTGGGCCCGAGAATTGAACCCTGTGGCACCCCCATAGAGACTGCCATAGGTCCAGACAATAGGCCCTCCGATTTGACACATTGAACTCTATCTGAGAAGTAGTTGGTGAACCAGGCGAGGCAGTCATTTGAGAAACCAAGGTTATTTAGTCTGCCAATAAGAATGTGGTGATTGACAGAGTCAAAAGCCTTGGCCAGGTCGATGAAGACGGCTGCGCAGTACTGTCTTTTATCAATCGCGGTTATTATATTTGTTTAGGACCTTGAGCGTGGCTGAGGTGCTCCTCGTGATGAGTTCAGTTTTTTTGTGGCCCCCACCCCCATCAAAGTTTCCCATCCCTGCGTTAGATGATCATGGTACGCACACATGCCAATTAATTCACACGTGGTGTGAGAAGGTGCTTTTTTGTCCTCTTGAGGTCAGGTAGAGAAAACTCATCCAAAACACCCGGCCCTACATACGGACAACAGTTGGATTCTATTCTTGGATTGATTGACCTGTCCTCTTCTTGTTTCTCCCAGGGAGCATCTGTCAGTAGGAGGGTTCCCCTGGTGGCTGAGATGCTTCATCATCAACTGTATCCTCTTCCTCCTCCTCTTCTTCCTCACAACTCCCGCCATCATCATCTCCACCATGGACAAGTTCAACGTCACCAAGCCTGTCGAGTACCTCAACGTGAGTCACCTTTTCACTCACTTAGTGAAGCTCAGGAGGTCGACTGTCAGTGTGCGTCCCAAATGGCACCCTATTCCCTATATAGTGCACTACTTTAGACCAGAGAATGGCACCCTATTCCCTATATAGTGCACTACTTTAGACCAGAGAATGGCACCCTATTCCCTATATAGTGCACTACTTTAGACCAGAGAATGGCACCCTATTCCCTATATAGTGCACTACTTTAGACCAGAGAATGGCACCCTATTCCCTATATAGTGCGCTACTTTAGACCAGAGAATGGCACCCTATTCCCTATATAGTGCACTACTTTAGACCAGAGAATGGCACCCTATTCCCTATATAGTGCGCTACATATATATATATACACACACTATAAGGAATAGGTGTGCCATGTATATATGATAAGGAATAGTTGCTACTTTGGGACGCGGATGTTACAGTTAGCCGTCTTTCAGGCCAGGACTGCTGCTGTACTGCAGGCCTGGTTACTGTCTGGCCTGGTACTGTCTGGCCTGGGTACTGTCTGGCCTGGTACTGTCTGGCCTGGGTACTGTCTGGCCTGGGTACTGTCTGGCCTGGGTACTGTCTGGCCTGGGTACTGTCTGGCCTGGGTACTGTCTGGCCTGGGTACTGTCTGGCCTGGTACTGTCTGGCCTGTTTACACGTCTGCCAGGTACTGCTGGCTGGTACTGTGGCTGGGAACTTCATGGCCTGGGTACTGTCTGGCTGGGTACTGTCTGGCCTGGGTACTGTCTGGCCTGGGTACTGTCTGTACTGTCTGGCCTGGGTACCTGGTACTGGGCCTGGTACTGTCTGGCCTGGGTACTCTGGCCGTTACTGTCTGGCCGTTAACACACCAGAACTGCTGTAACTGTGCTGGAAATATCAGAACCAGCAGAGTACGGTTTGGTTGACACAGTAGTGTGAAAAGGGCATTCATCTGTGTACTTTTCCTAACCTTAACTGGGTAACCTTTATCTGCAATTTCCCCAAAAAGCGAGATAACTCAACACGATCGAGAAGAGATCTGACCATAGAGCTTCGCAGTCAAGACCTCTACACTCCTAACCACATGATCCGCACCGAATCAGTCATCCTCGCGACAGCAGATCCGTACCCGCGATAGAACGCCGAGTCTCGACACTCAAGCTACCTCTCCCATGCAACGCAGATCGACACCTACAATCTCCTAGTCTCCTACTGTACCTGCACCTACGTCTCGCTCCATGCCTCTCAGCTGACTCTCCTGCACTCATATTCCGTCTCTCTTACATCTCCTCCTGTTCTCCTCACTCTCCTCATCTTTCTCTTCCTCTCCTCTTCTACTCTCCTCCTCTTCCTCTCCTCCTGCTCTCGTCTCCTCCTCCTCCTCTTCTTCCTCTCCTCCTCCTCTCTTACTCGTACGCTCTAAATCCTCCTATCCTCCTCCATCTCTTCCCCCCCTCTTCCTCTCCACCTCCTCTTCCTCTCCTCCTCCAGAACCCCATCGTGACTCAGTTCTTCCCCACCCTGCTGCTGTGGGCCTTCTCTGCCCTCCTACCCACCATCGTGTACTACTCTGCCTTCTTTGAGGCCCACTGGACACGGTACCACACACACACACACATTAATGTTGATCTTTCTGACTGTGTATCTAACACGTCTGGTCCCAGGTTGTGTGTCAGTATGTAGGAGTTGGCAAAACCACAAACAGATCTGGGACCTGGCTAACCTGGTAGAGCCATACAGAGAGCTCTTGTATTCTGTATTTCTCAATGTAATGTTGATCGTTTGACTTTCCATTTATTCTAATAGGTCTGGAGAGAACAGGACCACCATGCATAAATGCTACACCTTTCTGATCTTCATGGTCTTACTACTGCCCTCTCTAGGACTCAGCAGGTACTACATGTCTTCATTAATAATAATAATAATATATAGCACAGGTCCTCAACTGGCAGCTTCATTAAATAGTACCCGCAGGTACTACATATCTTCATTGATAATATATAGCACAGGTCCTCAACTGGCAGCTTCATTAAATAGTACCCGCAGGTACTACATGTCTTCATTAATAATAATAATAATATATAGCACAGGTCCTCAACTGGCAGCTTCATTAAATAGTACCCGCAGGTACTACATATCTTCATTAATAGTATATAGCACAGGTCCTCAACTGGCAGCTTCATTAAATAGTACCCGCAGGTACTACATGTCTTCATTAATAATATATAGCACAGGTCTTCAACTGGCAGCTTAATTAAATAGTACCCGCAGGTACTACATGTCTTCATTAATAATAATAATAATATATAGCACAGGTCTTCAACTGGCAGCTTCATTAAATAGTACCCACAGGCACTACATGTCTTCATTATTGTTGACGAAATCAACTTGATTGGAGGTACACAACACACTCTCAGCCTCTCGTCAGGCCCTTACAGAGAACAACTATACCGGATTTTGGACAGGGTCATTAGCATTAGAGTCATCAGACAAGTTTTTGCCCAAATCTAACTCAAATTCTAGACGTCGTATTAAAACGAGGCTACAGAGTCCATAATGTGACCATTAGATTTAGATCCATTTGAACTGAATAAGTTTGTAGGTGCAACAGTTTTTATTAAATGTATAATTTATTGCTAGCACATGCACATTTCCGTCCATTAAGAACCAACAATGTGCTACCTATTTTGTAGCATTTCTGACAATGCTAACATCTTTTCAACTGAATTTTCAGAGTTATAAAACCTACTGTGTGTCTTGCGATTTCTGCATCTACACCCCCTCGAGCATCCCATTGGTTCCTGCATAAACACCCCCCCCCCCCCCCCCCCCCCCCTTCCCCAGTCTACCGGTGTTCTAGCTAGATGGCTACCAGTGTCGCCCCTGCCTCCTGCCTGCTGTGTACCAAGAGTGTGCAAAGCTGTCATCAAGGCAAAGGATGGCTACTTTGAAGAATATATTTTGATTTGTTTAACACTTTTTGGGTTAATACATGATTCCATATGTGTTATTTCATAGTTTTGATGTCTTCACTATTATTCTACATTGTAGAAAATAGTAAAAAATAAAGAAAAACCCTGGAATGAGTAGGTGTGTCCAAACTTTTGACTGGTACTGATGATCTGATAACATATATATATATATATCTAGTACACTATACAGTGGGGGAAAAAAGTATTTAGTCAGCCACCAATTGTGCAAGTTCTCCCACTTAAAAAGATGAGAGAGGCCTGTAATTTTCATCATAGGTACACGTCAACTATGACAGACAAATTGAGATTTTTTTTCTCCAGAATATCACATTGTAGGATTTTTAATGAATTTATTTGCAAATTATGGTGGAAAATAAGTATTTGGTCACCTACAAACAAGCAAGATTTCTGGCTCTCACAGACCTGTAACTTCTTCTTTAAGAGGCTCCTCTGTCCTCCACTCGTTACCTGTATTAATGGCACCTGTTTGAACTTGTTATCAGTATAAAAGACACCTGTCCACAACCTCAAACAGTCACCCTCCAAACTCCACTATGGCCAAGACCAAAGAGCTGTCAAAGGACACCAGAAACAAAATTGTAGACCTGCACCAGGCTGGGAAGACTGAATCTGCAATAGGTAAGCAGCTTGGTTTGAAGAAATCAACTGTGGGAGCAATTATTAGGAAATGGAAGACATACAAGACCACTAATAATCTCCCTCGATCTGGGGCGCCACGCAAGATCTCACCCCGTGGGGTCAAAATGATCACAAGAACGGTGAGCAAAAATCCCAGAACCACACGGAGGGACCTAGTGAATGACCTGCAGAGAGCTGGGACCAAAGTAACAAAGCCTACCATCAGTAACACACTACGCCGCCAGGGACTCAAATCCTGCAGTGCCAGATGTGTCCCCCTGCTTAAGCCAGTACATGTCCAGGCCCGTCTGAAGTTTGCTAGAGTGCATTTGGATGATCCAGAAGAGGATTGGGAGAATGTCATATGGTCAGATGAAACCAAAATAGAACTTTTTGGTAAAAACTCAACTCGTCGTGTTTGGAGGACAAAGAATGCTGAGTTGCATCCAAAGAACACCATACCTACTGTGAAGCATGGGGGTGGAAACATCATGCTTTGGGGCTGTTTTTCTGCAAAGGGACCAGGACGACTGATCCGTGTAAAGGAAAGAATGAATGGGGCCATGTTTCGTGAGATTTTGAGTGAAAACCTCCTTCCATCAGCAAGGGCATTGAAGATGAAACGTGGCTGGGTCTTTCAGCATGACAATGATCCCAAACACACCGCCCGGGCAACGAAGGAGTGGCTTCGTAAGAAGCATTTCAAAGTCCTGGAGTGGCCTAGCCAGTCTCCAGATCTCAACCCCATAGAAAATCTTTGGAGGGAGTTGAAAGTCTGTGTTGCCCAGCGACAGCCCCAAAACATCACTGCTCTAGAGGAGATCTGCATGGAGGAATGGGCCAAAATACCAGCAACAGTGTGTGAAAACCTTGTGAAGACTTACAGAAAATGTTTGACCTGTATAATTGCCAACAAAGGGTATATAACAAACTATTGAGAAACTTTTGTTATTGACCAAATACTTATTTTCCACCATAATTTGCAAATAAATTCATTAAAAATCCTACAATGTGATTTTCTGCAAATTTTTTTCTCATTTTGTATGTCATAGTTGACGTGTACCTATGATGAAAATTACAGGCCTCTCTCATCTTTTTAAGTGGGAGAACTTGCACAATTGGTGGCTGACTAAATACTTTTTTCCCCCACTGTATAAGGAATAATCATAATATATATATATATATATATGTTATCAGATCTTCAGTACCAGTCAAAAGTTTGGACACACCTACTCATTCCAGGGTTTTTCTTTATTTTTACTATTTTCTACATTGTAGAATAATAGTGAAGACATCATAACTATGAAATAACACATATGGAATCATGTAGTAACCCCATATTTGTTTTGGCACAAAACTACCTCCATACTTCCATTCGTTTGTATGGGTTACCTTCAGACGAGTCTCTCTCTCCCATTTCCATAGAGGGGTCATAATAGTTTGTAGGCCAAACCGTTCGGGCGCTACAGATGTTTTCGTGAGAAGACCGTTTTTCAGGATGTCTCATGGTCTGACAAACACCGCTGCAGCTTGGCCACCTTCCACCGCAGATGCTGAAGGCTGACATATAAGGATCCTGTGGATTGAGATGCAGCACATGCAAAAAACGGATATCTATAGCTTAAACTGACATTTTTTTAAATGAGTTTACTTAGATTGATGCACGGGTGGACTGGAGTGATCAACTCTCAACGAAAACGTCATTGCTCATGCACTCCACCCCTACGGTACAACCCTACGGTACATTCCCTGAAATCCGAACACCAGCTGATTGATGGAGCACCAGGCCCTCTATGCACTGTTTTTTATTTTCTGGTCCCATCCAGCTCCTCCGCTACACAATATCAGAGAAGACCAACGTTGTCCCGGGAAACATTTGGATGACCACGTCTAAGTCTGCGCATCGGCACTGGTGCGGTAGATGCGCAGACTTAGACGTGGTCATCCAAATGTTTCCCGGGACAACGTTGGTCTTCTCTGATATTGTGTAGCGGAGGAGCTGGATGGGACCAGAAAATAAAAACAGTGCATAGAGGGCCTGGTGCTCCATCAATCAGCTGGTGTTCGGATTTCAGGGAATGTACCGTAGGGTTGTACCGTAGGGGTGGAATGCACTAAGCTACCTGCCGCCATCAGACCATCAGGAAGACTGTTATGCTTGATTGAGCTGTTTTGTCTTGTAGTAATGTGCTGCCTGCCTTTATTTTATGCAACCTTTTTATTTAGCAAAACATGCCATTGAGAAAAAAATATTTTTCATAAAATATTGGGATACAAGTCGTTTCCTCCGAGGTGGATGACTCGGATGTCAGGGAGAGTAGTAGAACAGAACACAGAGCAGGTTGTGCCACTTCATACCTGGCGGCAGGTAGCTTAGTGGTTAAGAGCGTTGTGCCAGTAACCGAAAGGTCGCTGGTTCTAATCCCCGAGCCGACTAGGTGACAAATCTGTCTGTGCCCTTAAGCAAGGCACTTAACCCTAAGTCGCTCTGGATAAGAGCGTCTGCTAAATGACTTAAATGTAAATGTAAATGTACCTTGCCCTTCAAGCCACCTAATGTGACAGTCAATGTATGTAAATAGTTAATGGCTACATGTTGATTATTGGTGTGTTATCCAGGAGCCTGCTTGATTTGTCTTGTTAAAAGAGATCAGGGAAATGTTTTGCCCGTTTACTCCAAATTGGCTTAAATGGGTTCCTGTTTTTTCACTTCCCTCTGGAATATCAGTTGTTTAAAGTGTAACTTGTTTTTTGGTTATTTGTAAACTCAGGTTCCCTTTGTCTATTAGTAGGTTTTGGTTGAAGACCTGATAACATTCAGTATAAAACAATATGCAAAATGGATCATCAGAAAGGGGGCAAATACTTTTTCACAGCACGGTATATGACTGTGTCCAACACACCACCTGGTGTTTTGGTACCTAATGACCCCAAAAAATATTTTATGAAAAATATTTTTTTCTCAATGGCATGTTTTGCTAAATAAAAAGGTTGCATAAAATAAAGGCAGGCAGCACATTACTACAAGACAAAACAGCTCAATCAAGCATAACAGTCTTCCTGATGGTCTGATGGCGGCAGGTAGCTTAGTGGGTAAGAGCGTTGTGCCAGTAACCGAAAGGTCGCTGGTTCTAATCCCCCGAGCCGACTAGGTGAAAAATCTGTCGATGTGCCCTTGAGCAAGGCACTTAACCCTAATTGCTCCTGTAAGTCGCTCTGGATAAGAGCGTCTGATAAATCACTAAAATGTAAATGGTCTAAGTACAAAAGCTTGTACTGTGAAGAATCCAATACTTTAACTTGTATGTGGTATAATTCAGCAATAAGACCCTATGGGGTGTGGCATAATTCAGCAATAAGACCCGAGGGGGTGTGGCATAATTCAGCAATAAGACCCGAGGGGGTGTGGCATAATTCAGCAATAAGACCCGAGGGGGTGTGGCATAATTCAGCAATAAGACCCGAGGGGGTGTGGCATAATTCAGCAATAAGACCCGAGGGGGTGTGGCATAATTCAGCAATAAGACCCGAGGGGGTGTGGCATAATTCAGCAATAAGACCTGATGGGGTGTGGTATATGGCCATTATACCACGGCTAATGGCTGTTCTTATCACGACGCAACACGGAGTGCCTGGATACAGCCCTTAGCCGTGATATATTGGCAATATACCACAAACTCCGTAGGTGCCTTATTGCTTATTCAAACCCACGATCCTGGCGTTGCATCGCCATGCTCTACAGAGGACCACTTAGCCAGTCAACACTTTTACCTACTGTATACTGTTCATTCACTACAGGGCTAGTGATACAGTTTCCCGGACTAGAATGTACTTTCTATGGAGTCCAGTAAGAAGTCAGAACAGCCCATAGGACGCTGGGCTATCGCAGGGGACGCGTCCCATTTTTTGAGACTTTGGTATGACTCTGCCGGGGATCGAACTCCCAACCTTTTGAGTTGGTCTCAATGGAGTCCGGCACTAGCCTTAATCTGGGTGCAGGAAACTGTCCCTTTTATGATCCCATTCTCAGTCATGGAGTCTCTAATCCAATCATCAACCACCTCTTCTATCACTCTGAGAACTCAACTGTTTCCTTCTTCATTCCAGTCTGGACGTTTTCTTCCGATGGCTATTTGACAAGCGCTTCCTGGATGATGCTGCTGTGAGGTTTGAGTAAGTAGCAGTTCCTAGTTCCTCTCTTAAGTTTCTTCCTAGGTTCCTTCATCTAGGGAGTTTTTCCTAGCCACCGTGCTTCTACATCTGCATTGCTTGCTGTTTTGGGGTTTTAGGCTGACTTTTAGTAAAGCAATTTGACAACTGCTGATGTAAAAAGGGCTTTATAAAATACATTTGATTTGAACACAGTCACTCACAAGACATTCCTTTGGATGAATGAGACCTGCCTGTCAGTCTCTGTATGATATTTTCAACATGGACATCTTTATGGTATAGGTATGCCCTTACTATGCTCCTCAGCAGCAGTAACTCAAACCTTTGTGGTTTGGGTCTGGTGGGACTCTCTATCTATCTCTCTCTGTCTCTCTCTCTCTCTATCTATCTCTCATCTCTGTCTCTCTCTTTGTCTCTCTCTCTGTCTGTAGGTCTGTCATGTCTCTATGTCTCTGTCTCTCCGTCTCTTCTGTCTCCTGTCTCTCTCTGTCTCTTCTGTCTCTCTCTGTAGCTATCTCTATCTCTCTCTTCTCTCCTCCATCTGTAGATCTCTGCTCTTCGCTCTGTCTCTCTCTGTCTCTCTCTCTCTGTCTCTCGTTTTCCTCTCCTATCTCTCTCTGTCTCTTTCGTCTTCGTCTTCTCTTTTCTTCTTTTCTCTCTCTCTGTCTCTCTTCTCTCTCTCTCCTTCTCTTCTTTGTCTCTTCTCTCTCTTGTCTCTGTATTTTTCCCCTCTCTCTGCCTATCTCTTTTTCCCTCTGTCTCTCTCTCTATCTCTTTTCCGTCTCTGTCTCTCTGTATTTTCTCTCGTCTTATCTCTCTCTCTTCTTCTGTCTTTTGTTCTCTTCCCCTCTCTCTATTCCTCTCTTATCCTTTCTCTCTATCCTCTTCTCTCTTTCTCTACCCTCTAGTCTCTCTCTCTTGTCTCCTCTCTCTTCTCTCTGTCTCTCTTATCTCGTCTTCGTCTCTTTCTTCTCTTCTCTCTCTTCTCTCTATTCTCTTATCTTCTCCTGTCTCTCTCTCTCTTCTGTTCTCTGTCTCTCTGCTCTCTGTCTCTCTCCCCTCTCTGTCTCTCTGTCTCTCGTTCTCTGTCTCTTTTCTCTCTGTCTCTCTCTTCTCTCTCTCTCTCTATCTCTCTTCTCTCTCTCTCTGTCTCTCTCTGTCTCTCTCTGTCTCTCTGTCTCTCTCTCTCTCTCTGTCTCTCTGTCTCTCTGTCTCTCTGTCTCTTCTCTGTCTCTCTCTCTCTCTCTGTCTCTCTCTCTCTTTCTCTGTCTCTCTCTCTCTCTCTCTGTCTCTCTCTCTCTCTCTCTCTGTCTCTCTTCTCTCTCTCTCTCTGTCTCTGTCTCTGTCTCTGTCTCTCTCTCTCTCTCTCTCTCTCTGTCTCGGTGTCTCTCTCTGTCTCTCTGTCTGCTCTCAACCTTTGAACCTCTACCTTGTGCACTGTGGTCTCTGCTGGCCACGTTCTGGCTCATAATGTAAAGTTGTCAGTCTTATCTTAGTGGTGCTTGTAACAGTTATCTATCTTTCAATTATCTCCAGTCAGAACAGCTTCCATATTCTCTGATGTGTCTCTTATGGAACTAGCTGTTCATTGTTTAGGATAGTATTTTAGGAAGAGCTGAACCCCTTAGCAGCCTATCCCCTACCCCCCAATGCCTGGGGTATTCAGTCATTCCCTGATTAGAGGGGTAGAATTAAAACAAGCAGTGGAACTGGCTCCTAGGTCCAGGTTAGAGTCTGGTAGAGAGGGTTATATTGGCACTATGGCAACAACTTCCACCTGGCCAGCGGGGTTAGAATGAGTTACCACACCTGGCCAGCAGGATTAGAATGAGTTACCACACCTGGCCAGCAGGATTAGAATGAGTTACCACACCTGGCCAGCAGGATTAGAATGAGTTACCACACTGGCCAGCAGGATTAGAATGAGTTACCACACCTGGCCAGCAGGATTAGAATGAGTTACCACACCTGGCCAGCGGGGTTAGAATGAGTTACCACACCTGGCCAGCAGGATTAGAATGAGTTACCACACCTGGCCAGCAGGATTAGAATGAGTTACCACACCTGGCCAGCAGGATTAGAATGAGTTACCACACCTGGCCAGCAGGATTAGAATGAGTTACCACACCTGGCCAGCAGGATTAGAATGAGTTACCACACCTATTCAATCGTCTCAGATCCACAGTGAATAGGGTCTGAGATTCAGTGAGAGTAATATTCTTGTTGTGATGTCATTTCCTGTCTTCGCCCCACCTCATAATCTAACGTAGTGGTTCTTATTTTAACCCTGCTTTCAGGTAACAATTAGAACAGCAACCATGTTCTCTCATCGTATTGTGTCCTTATGGACCTGGCTGTCCTTTGGGTTTGGTTTCGTCCTTTAGGAGGGAGGTAGTCTCTAATACCCCGTTTCACACTATTGTGCCGACCCGAACCGTACTGGGCTGGCCTGGTTATGCATCCCACATCGTTTCAGCAACCATGCTGGAAAAGATCATGTGAAGAGAACAGAACATATCCAATCCAGCGTACTATGGTTCTGGTTGGCACGATTAGTCTGAAAAAGGTATGTTATTGTCGTGATATCGTTTCCTGTCTTCCCCCAGGTGTGTGTTCCTGCCGGACAACGGGGCGTTCTTTGTGAACTATGTCATCGCGTCGGCGTTCATCGGTAACGCCATGGATCTGCTGAGGATCCCTGGTCTGCTCATGTACATGACCCGGCTGTGTCTGGCCCGCTCTGTTGCCGAGAGACGCAACGTCAAGAGGGTGAGTGTAGCGGAGCTCCACCTGGTGGTCAGGAAGACCTCAGTTATCCAATCCCATAAACTACTTCACTACTAGGATGTATATAGTTATATCAAAGATGATCTATGGACTGACAAGATAGTCAACTGACTGCTCTAACAATGGGAATAAATGTCCACAAAGGCAGGTGGGATCAGGCGGGAACATTTTAACCAATGAGAAGCCAGATACGCGTGTGAACAACACATCAACATAACATTGTTTTTTGTCAAAGTTGCCAGAATGCCACATTCCTCCACTTATATCAGTACATTCGTAATAACCTAAACATCCCAAAACGTATCTTCGATCAAATAAACATCACGTTGCAAATGTTATGTTGACCAAATTCGACACTCACTGACCTCGTACATAAAATCCACACTTCCACTGGTTAACGTTGTATTTTCGTGTGGACAGATTTTGAGGCGGAGTCAAGCCTTCTCCTCTTCCTCTCTGGTTATATGCTAGTGGGTCGAAGTCAATTCCATTTCAAACCAGTCAATTCAGGAAGTAAACTGAAATTCCAATAAGGAAAGCAATGAGGAAAATGTAAGTTGGAATTTAAATGTACTTCCTGAATTGACTGTGTTGAAATAGAATGAACCCCAACCCTGACAAGCTATGCTTTTGTTGAACTTAAGCTTCCCTAAGGACATATGATAATATCCTCTGTTACTAACTGTAAGTCGCTCTGGATAAGAGCGTCTGCCTAAATGACGTAATGTAAATGTTAATATGTGTATCTTCTGCAGCACCAGGCCTTATGAGTTCCACGTCTATATACTCTATTTCTATGTCTGCAGCACCACAGGCCTATGAGTTTCCAGTTCTTATAAACTCTATTTCTAGTCTGCATGCCCCAGGCCTATGATTCCAGGGCCCTATGAGTTCCAGTTCTATAACTCTATTTCATGCTCTGCAGCACCAGGCCTATGAGTTCCAGTTCTATAAACCCTATTTCTATGCTCTGCAGCACCAGGCCTATGAGTTCCAGTTCTATAACTCTATTTATATGTCTGCAGCACCAGGCCTATGAGTTCCAGTTCTATAACCTATTTCTATGCTCTGCAGCACCAGGCCTATGAGTTCCAGTTGGGAGAGCAAGCCTACGCCGGGATGATGTGTGTCTTCACTGTGGTCATGACTACAGCATCACCTGTCCAATCATTGTCCCCTTCGGTGAGCTGAGCTCCACTGTTATTATCACCTGACTGTAGTAGGTTATTTATCACCTGACTGTAGTAGGTTATTTTTTCCCCGACTGTGTAGGTTATTTATCACCTGACGTTAGTAGGTTATTTATCACCTGACTGTAGTAGGTTATTTATCCATGACTGAGAGGTTATTATCACCTGACTGGTAGTAGGTTATTTATCCTGACTGTGTAGTAGTATTATCACCTGACTGTAGTAGGTTATTATCACCTGACTGTGTGTTTAATGAGTAGGGTTATTTCACTGGTAGTAGGTTATTATCACTGACATGTGGGGTTATTATCACTGACTAGTAGTAGTGTTATTATCACCTTTGATGGTTATTTATCACCGACTGTGTAGTAGGTATTTATCACCTGACTGTAGTGGTTATTTATCACCTGACTGTAGTAGGTTATTTATCACCTGACTGTAGTAGGTATTACCTGATTGTAGTAGGTTATTTTCACCGACTGTAGTAGGTTATTTATCACCTGACTGTAGTAGGTTATTTATCCCTGACTGTAGTAGGTTATTTATCACCGGGACTGTGTGTAGGTTATTTATCACCTGACGTGTAGTAGGTTATGTATCACCTGACTGTAGTAGGGTTATTTATCACCTGACTTGAGGTTATTATCCCTGACTGTAGTAGGTTATTATCACCTGACTGTTAGTAGGTTATTTACACCCTGACTGTAGTGAGGTTATTTATCACCTGACTGTAGTAGGTTATTTATCACCTGACTGTAGTAGGTTATTATCACCTGACTGTTAGTAGGTTATTATCACCTGACTGTAGTAGGTATTTATCACCGACTGTGGTAGGTAGGTTATTTATCACCTGACTGTGTAGTAGGTTATTTATCACCTGACTGTAGTAGGTTATTTATCACCTGACTGTGTAGTAGGTTATTTATCACCTGACTGTAGTAGGTTATTTATCACCTGACTGTGTAGTAGGTTATTTATCACCTGACTGTGTAGGTTATTTATCACCGGACTGTGTAGTGGGTTTATTTATCACCTGACTGTAGTAGGTTATTTATCACCTGACTGTAGTAGGTTATTTATCATGACTGTGTAGTAGGTTATTTATCCCCGACTGTGAGTAGGTGTATTACTAAGTGAGTAGGTTTACGTGAGTAGTGTTATTACCCTGGACTGTGTAGAGGTTTATTTATCACCTGACTGTGTAGTAGGTTATTTATCACCTGACTGTTGTTAGTAGGTTATTTATCACCTGACTGTAGTAGGTTTTTATCACTGCTTGTGTAGGTTTACTGGTGTAGTAGGTTATTTATCACCTGACTGTGTAGTAGGTTATTTATCACCTGACTTGTAGTAGGTTATTTATCACCTGACTGTGTAGTAGGTTATTTATCACCTGACTGTAGTAGGTTATTTATCACCTGACTGTGTAGTAGGTTATTTATCACCTGACTGTGTAGTAGGTTATTTATCACCTGACTGTAGTAGGTTATTTACACCCTGACTTGTGAGTAGGTTATTTATCACCTGACTGTGTAGTAGGTTATTTATCACGACTGTGTAGTGGTTATTTATCACCTGACTGTGTAGAGGTTATTTATCACCTGACTGTAGTAGGTTATTATCACCTGACTGTGTAGAGGTTATTTATCACCTGACTGTTAGTAGGTATTTATCACCTGACTGTGTAGTAGTGTTATTTCACCGACTGTAGTAGGTTATTTTCACCTGATGTAGTAGGTTATTTATCACCTGACTGTAGTAGGTATTTATCACTGACGTGTAGTAGGTTATTTATCACCTGACTGTGTAGGTTATTTATCACTGACTGTGTAGTGGTTATTATCACCTGACTGTGTGTAGGTTATTTATACCTGACTGTGTAGTAGGTTATTATCGCCGACTGTAGTAGGTTATTATCCCTGATGTAGTAGGTTATTATCACCTGACGTGTAGTAGGTTATTATCACCTGACTGTTAGTAGGTTATTTATCACCTGATGTCAGTAGGTTATTTTCACCTGACTGTAGTAGGTTTATTTATCACCTGACTGTTAGTAGGTTATTTATCACCTGACTGTGTAGTAGGTTATTATCACCTGACTGTGTAGTTTTATACCTGAGGTAGTAGGTTATTTATCACCTGACTTGTAGTAGGTTATTTATCACGACTGTAGTAGGTTATTTATCACCTGACTGTAGTAGGTTATTTCACTGTGTAGTAGGTTATTTATCACCTGACTGTAGTAGGTTATTTATCACTGACTGTGTAGTAGGTTATTTATCACCTGACTGTAGTAGGTATTTATACCTGACGTTGAGGTTATTTTCACCTGACGTGTAGTAGGTTATTTATCACCTGACTGTTAGTAGGTTATTTATCACCTGACTGTGTATAGGTTATTATCACCTGACTGTGTAGTAGGTTATTTTCACCTGACTTGTAGTAGGTTATTTATCACCTGACGTTGTTAGTAGGTTATTTATCACCTGACTGTAGTAGGTTATTTATCACCTGACTGTTAGTAGGTTATTTATCACCTGACTTGTAGGTAGGTTATTTTATCCACCTGGACGTAGTAGGTTATTTATCACCTGACTGTAGTAGGGTATTTATCACCTGACTTTGTAGTAGGTTATTTATCACCTGACTGTAGTAGGTTATTTATCACCTGACTGTAGTAGGTTATTTATCACCTGACTGTGTAGTAGGTTATTTATCACCTGACTGTAGTAGGTTATTTATCACCTGACTGTAGTAGGTTATTTATCACCTGACTGTAGTAGGTTATTTATCACCTGGACATGGTAGTAGGTTGATTTATCACTGATGTAGTAGGTATTTATCACTGACTGTGGTTGTAGGTTATTTATCACCTGACTGTAGTAGGTTATTTATCACCTGACGTGTAGTAGGTTTTATCCCTGATGTAGTAGGTTATTTATCACCTGACTGTGTAGTAGGTTATTTATCACCTGACTGTGTAGTAGGTTATTATCACCTGACTGTGTAGTAGGTTATTATCACCTGACTGTAGTAGGTTATTTATCCCGACGTAGTAGGTTATTTATCACCTGACTGTAGTAGGTTATTTATCACCTGACTGTAGTAGTAGGTTATTTATCACCTGACTGTGTAGTAGGTTATTTATCACCTGACTGTAGTAGGTTATTTATCACCTGACTGTAGTAGGTTATTTATCACCTGACTGTGTAGTAGGTTATTTATCACCTGACGTGTAGTAGGTTATTTATCACCTGACTGTAGTAGGTTATTTATCACCGATGTTTAGTAGGTTATTTATCACCTGACTGTGTAGTTTATCCCGCGTAGTAGGTTATTTATCACCTGACTGTAGTAGGTTATTTATCACCTGCTGTAAGGTTTATCACCTGACTGTTAGTAGTTATTTATCACCGGATGTAGTAGGTTATTTATCATCTCTGTAGTAGGTTATTCATCCCTGATGTAGTAGGTTATTTATCACCTGACTGTAGTAGGTTATTTTACACGACTGTAGTAGGTTATTTATACTGACTTGTAGTAGGTTTTTTATCACTGACTGTTAGTTTTTAGTAGGTAGGTTATTTATCACCTGACTGTGAGTAGGTTATTATCACCTGACTGTAGTAGGTTATTTATCACCTGACTGTAGTAGGTATTTATCACCGACGTAGAGGTTATTTATCACCTGACTGTAGTAGGTTATTATCACCTGACTGTGTAGTAGGTATTTATCACCTGATTGTAGTAGGTTGAGTTTGTACCCGACTGTAGTGGAGGTTATTATCACCTATGACGTGTAGTAGGTTATTTATCCCCTGAGTGTAGTAGGTTATTTATCACCTGATGTAGTAGGTTATTTATCACCTGACTGTGAGTAGGTTATCACCTGCGTAGTAGTTATTATCACCTATGTAGTAGGTTATTACACCTGACTGGTGAGTAGGTTATTATCACCTGATTGAGGTATTTCAAGTAGGTTATACTGTGAGTTAGGTTATTTATCACGGACGTAGTAGGTATTACCTGACGTAGTAGTTTTTATCTGACTGTAGGGTTATTTATCACCTGACTGTAGTAGGTTATTTATCACCTGATGTGTAGTAGGTATTATCACCTGACTAGTAGGATTATCACTGTGGTGGTTATTTATACCGATTGTATGTAGTAGGTTATTTATCACCTGACTGGTAGAGGTTATTATCACCGACTGTAGTAGGTATTTATCACCTGACTGTGTGTAGGTTTTATACCTGATGTGTAGGTTATTATCACTGCTGTAGTAGGTTATTTATCACCGATGTAGTAGGTTATTTATCACCGAGGTAGTAGTAGGTTATTTATCACCTGATGTAGTAGGTTATTTATCCCTGACGTAGTAGTATTATCCCTGACGTAGTAGGTATTTATCACCTGACTGTAGTAGGTTATTATCACCTGATGTAGTAGGTTTTTATCACCTGACTGTAGTAGGTTATTTATCACTGACTGTAGTAGGTTATTATCACTGAGTAGTAGGTTATTATACCTGACTGTAGTTAGGTTATTATCACCTGATGTAGTAGGTTATTTATCACCTGACGTGTAGGTATTATCACCTGACTTGGGTAGTAAAAGTTTAAGGTTAATTTTAACAAAGGAAATAAAGGAAACGTAGTTTTTAAGGGGGGCCCAGATGGGGGAAGGGAAATGAGTAA